TCATTAGCTCTTCTAGAGTTAGCATGGGCCTCCAGGCTGCTTCTCTATAATGATCTTCTCACTTCCAATTGCAGTTTATACAAAAACTATTTTAGAACCCTTAAGCCACCTCATTGGCTATGTGTTAGCTTTAGTATTTACAATATGGATCCAACTAAAACAAAAAGAAGACATCCAGAGTAATACTGACTGCAGTTAAAATTTTGAACTATAGTGAACATAAGGCACAACAAAAAGGAGACAAAGCTTTCTAATGCTGTTTGAAGACTGATTCTATCCTACCACATCCTCACAATTACATAAAACACAAAGACTTAAACACAGACATATGTGGGCCCACATGTTTATAATCACAGCATGTCTAATATCAGAGTAATGCTTTAAGCTTTGCTATCTTATTTTACTACTTCCTAAGCCGTCAACATTTTACTTCCAATCCAGAGGCTTTGGGTTTGGTTGGCTATCATCCAAGCTTCTCCTTCTCCATGTGACTACTTCTCTACCCATCTGTCCCTCTGCCTCATTGTGTTTCCCCCGTTTTCACCTCGTCTCTTTCTGCTCTCTTCCCTGTGCTCCACCTGTCCATCTATCATCGAAACACCTCACAAAAGGAACACATGCAGAAGCAGAAAGCATGTCAAACGATAAGCCTAGAGCCAATTTTCCTTCCAAATCACACATGCCGACTCGGAGCCAACAACAGCTGTAAATGCCGTCATCTGCATATGCGTGATGCGGTCGCCGCCGGGAGGCGCCCGTCTCCAGAATCCATGAATGCCCAAATCACTGTGGAAGCAAATTTCCATCAATCAAACAGCTGAAGGTGGAAAAGAAACCCAAGTGCCGACCCTGCGGTTCAAAAAGACGTTGGGTCACACTTCTGGTGCTGTTATGTTTGGCAGATCACGGGGAACTTTTTGGACCGGCTAGCCCCTTAACAACTGCAGTCAGAAATAGACCGTGGACTTTCGCGGTCGGCTCATTTTGAAGAGGTGTCAAATACGCTGAGGCCATGAGCGATAGCCGCTGTGTGTGTGTGTTTGTGTGTTAAAAGGCAAGGGGTGTTGTGTATCGTTCCCCACATTTTGTGTCAGGGACAGTTGGGATGAAGGCAGGGAATGAAGCAAAAGGCCAGCCAGAGGACAGCTTGTGATCTGAGGACACACGCTGCTCACAGTACACCACCACATATGTACCCAGACAGAAACACAGACGAAGAGACGCATTTCAGCTCCTTAAAAAAAAAAAAAGGATGCAGTAAATTTCCATTACGCCATTAACAAAGTTTTTTTTTTTCTTCCCAGGTCTAACTTTTCAAGCCTTTATTCATTCACTACAATGCAACATACAACCGTGAGCTGAATAGAATAACCAAGTGCAATAGAAAACAGCAGGTGTTTGTCTTTCCCTCAAAGCTGCAAATCATTTCAACAGCTGACTGACTGAACCGGTGAACACAGGTTCACACAGGTTCACACATCCAAGAAGCAGATTGTTTTGATGGTGATATTTAAAAGAGGGGGCCTCAGTGTGACAACTGCACCCAGCTGTTACACATGTAGCTTCAAAACAGCTCTGATAATCTGCTACCGGTTGGAGCACTACAGTGCATTATTATTAATGTAATGGAAGGAGAGGCAAGCAATGTAAAGAACCCTGTTTGGGTCCTTTTCCTAATCTGGACATTTATTAACACTTTCGCTAAATCTTCAACTTCTCAATGGATGTTTCTCTCCTCCGTGCAGAGGCCAGTGTGGAGGAGGTGCCTGAATGCAGCTGCTGCCCCAGCCTTCTGATTCCTGCCAAGCAGCAAACTTTCCTCTGTCAGATTAAATAGGATTAGTCGGCCCTGCTGTATGATGAACTCAAAGCTTCACATGGTGACTGGTAACTTTCCAAATATGTGAGGCAAAAAAAAATCAGGGTATTAGTTGGTTTGACAATTCAAATTACACAGCTCAATTACAGTGCCATGTAAAAGTGTCCAGTGAACTTTTCACATTTAGTCATCTAAAAATCACTAACTATCAATGATTTTCCAATATTTATATCAATATTCAATTGGAATATTAGGTATAAAACCAAAAACACCTCCCTGAATAAATACTTTGTTGAATCACTTTTGCAATATTTACTGTTTTGCACATCTTCAGACCAAATGTTTGGGTCTTCTTAGTGAAAATACAGAACAGTTCGGACAAATGGAACATGGCTGTCAAAATGATTTGTGCAAATATTGCATTAAATTCTCAGTTTAAGTTTGCTTGGTTTGTTATATTTTACAGATAGATTTGCTCTTATCTTGATAGTTTGACTTATGGCTGGATCCTCTGTCCTTTTTAGCCTCTGGCATGTTTTCTTGCAGGATCACCCTTCATTTACTGTACATCCAACCATCTTAACAAAGATGAAGAAGTTCTTCACTGAAGAAAATCATTCTCACTGTATAATGCTGGCAAAACTCTGTTAAACTGAGGGGATGCTCTTAGGATGATTAACAGTTTTAAATTCCAGCCACTTATTTAAGCTAACAAGCTCAGTTTTTCTTTCTCAAATAACCAGTGCATGTCCAACACATATGCGGTGTCCCTAAGCTTGTTGAAAACTACCAAAAAGACCTTGTTTGGCCTACTTTCAAGAATCGTTTTCTACTCAAAAGCCATATATCTTTTGAGGGAACAACTTATAGAAATCACGATCAAAGCTTCTCCTACCTAAGCTGTGAATCTCTGCAGCTTCTCTAGTATTTCCATGCATCGTCTGGCTTCTTCTAATAATAACAATCTAAATAAGGAGCCTGTATATTTGCAGTTGCAGATGTGGCCCAGCTTTAAGAAACGTATCTCTATTGCACCCCATTGAGATGGAAGGAAATTAAAAGCACTCACTTTGAATTTAGGGAATAGAAATGTGAATAAAAAGAGATATTCCCTTTAACTTCACAGTTTTATAAAATTTTCTGATAATATATATCCTAAAACTCTACAAGAACAAATATAATTTTCTGTTTCTGGCAAAAGTTGATTAATATCCATGGTCTCTGACTTTTAAAATCATTTTTGGACTGCTGAGGGTATGAAAAATCCCACCTGTTTATTGCAATTTGCCTTTTTATTTCCTTTGATTCAGAAACACACGTGCTTAGTTGCGGGAGCTCGTGCACACACAGATGCATGGAGACACGCTCTCATCCTGACTTCATGCTCAGAGCAAGTTGCTCTCATCAGGGGATGCAAAGTTCTTTTGTGTGCTAAAATGACACACATACTCGCACGAGCACATGCATACTCTCTCATTGGTATTTTTATCTATCCCCAGAGTCACTTGGTGGCTGCTAGCCATATTACTCTACAAACTACAGAGAAGCCATGGTCACACCAGCTAGTACTTAAGATCCCCCACCCTTCATGTCAGCAGTAGTATGTCTGGGGTAGTCTACAGCAGGGAGAATGCAAGGTGATACATAGAGCCAAACACGGAAAGAATTCAGTCTGTTATCATCTGCTGCCTGCAAGACCTCCGAGGATACTTGCACACATTTGCACAGAGACAACACACAACAGAGGCCCTGAAAACGTGACCACATGACAGGGCCAGAGGCGTGCACATGCACTGGCTCCTCACACAGGTTTTTTTCCTCCTGAGGCGAGGCTAAAGCATCCAATCTCAGTCTTTCTTGTCTATCTCTGGCACTGATAAAGGTTTATAATGAACTGGGGACTAGAACTCAGTCCCCAAGACTGATGGCTTTATGGCCTCAGCCAGATCATCACCCTCTGTGGACTTTTGTTTGCCACCGGGTAAGAACAGCAAGAGAGCCAGGAGAGAAAGGGGGGGGGCAAAGATTAAAGTTTTACACTTCAACCTTTGAGAAGTATTTTGCAATATCCTCTGTTCCCATGTCTACAGTTTACTATGGACACGTTCCCTCAGATCTGCACCGCAAAACTGAGTTCAAGCTGAAATAAATTCAAAAAGTTATGATAAGGCAGCCTACCGTCACAGGTAGGAGCCAAACTAAGGGACAAAGGTCCTCTTGTGCCTTATCGACTTTTCCCTTATCTTTTGTACTCAAATCTAAAATTGTGTTTGTAAACTGGTAACAGTTGAACAATTTGTTTGGGTTGCATTCAAGAATGTGGCTAACTGCTGTGTTCAGAGTGTCTGTGTTCTCTTGTCTTGGCATCAAAGTGAGGACCATTTTCCGAATTCCATCATCAAATAGAGTACTGTTTGTCTAAATTACTGCAGTGCAAATATGCATTGTATAATGCACAATGAAGCTGCAGGAAACTCTTATGAATGAAATAATGCTTTAAGAGCTACACTATCATGCCCCAATATATCTAATTAAAGTGACATTTATGTGCCTCAAATTGTTATCTAGTTGCTTTCAGATTATGACTTTGACTGGAGAGGTGAGTAAAGCTTTTATTTTGAGCCTAGCATATGAAGGTTAGAATTATAGGCTTGGTATCATATTGCATCCATGTCTGACACTCTAAGTTAGAAAGGAAGTGGTAGTTTAGTTCAAATTGTTGTGCTAATGGAGTTTGCTAAAACACTTCTTGTCAGATTGTCTGGCAGCACTTAAGTTTCAAAAGCATCTAATAAGCTTTGACTATTTTAAAATCATTTCTCTAGTCAAACTGTTAGATTTCTGAGGCTATAACAACTTAGTTACCATTAGCAGCTAATGAAGCCAAAGTTATAATTTCTTTCAAAAGTAGTAGTTGCTGGATTTCCCTATTGTACTAACAGAATCAACTTTTGAAAACTTTTTATGGGGTTATCAGACAAAACCGGCAAAAAAAAAAAAGCACAGAAAAGCCTCCAACACTGGAAAAATAAAAGATAGATATGATATTGAAAGTATGTAAGCATTGTGAGGATAGGACAGCTACAGTTACTGATTGGGATGTAAGAACCTTTGAATTTATTCAACTTTGAGTTGCACTGTTTTTTGACAGAGTGCAGAAACAGACTTCTGATCAACTTACCTCCAAAAAATTAGATGCTTCATTCCCATACTGAGAAGAAATGATCTCTGATTGGTCGCTGTACCATTTAAGGCCTCCCAGAAAGCTGTCGGCATCCAAGTCACTGACATCCAGCTCTGAGAGGTCAAGTTCAGGAAGGTCTGGGCAGAGGGGCTGGTCTTCACCAACCAAGGCAGCACACTACAGAAGAAAAAAATACAAAGATAATTAGACATGAGGTAAACACACAATTTATCACCTAACTTGGCAAATAAACACAAAAAACATCTTCTAAATCTTAGAAAGTGTCTAAGATTAGAAATTTTTGTATTCATTATGTCTCTTTCATTTGACTCCCAAAGTGCACTTAACAACTACAATTAATATATAACTTCTTTACCATCACCTCCATTTGTCATTAACAGGCCTGCTATGAGGGCGCTGTAGTTTTTTCTTTTTTTTTCTTTTTTTTTTTTTTGTTGTCAAGAACTTGCAACCTGTTTCCATTTAGCTTCTGTCAACCTCCAGTACACTGTGTACACTGTTATTGGAGGGGCCATGGCCTCCCGGCTACTAAACGCTGCCTGTTGACATTTTGTTATTCACCAGCCTCTTTTATGTAATCTAGTCAATGTGTATACTGTTTGTAGCAGCTGCTCCTGCTTTTTGGGTGATCAAATCATCAAGTCTGGCCCTGGCTGCAGACTGAAGAAGGGCAGGTGCCTCAGAGAGTGGGGAGAACGGGAAGGTTGACTCTCTTTTGCAGAAAAAGAAACAAATCTTTGGCTTCAAACCCAAGTAATTATAAGGACCATTCTCAGGTATTTATATTTTGGTCCCATCAAATGTAAAACAAAAGTGTACTCTATCTATTTTGAATGCAAACCTATTTATTATTCTTCTAAATACACATTACGTGCGTTTATTTAGGCAACAAGAGAGACATCATGAGTCACAGCAACGAGCCTTTGCTCCTTCCAGAGAGGGAGTCGGGTTCGGATCGGAGGCAAAAGCTGGGGCAAGGTGATGCTGTGCCAAGTTGTAAAACCCGTCCAGATCTTGATGTCACAGTTCGTGTTTCCAAAGGAATTTGCCAACACATTCGGGACCGCGATCAGACCGCTGTGGTGATGCAAATTGCAAAAGAGAGGTGCGACAGATTCACATCGCCACGACAGGTTGACATGATACATTTAGGAAAAACAGAATAAAATGCAACAGAACTGTTCAGATATTCAGAGAGTGGACGTCCTGTACTCGAATTATGGCACGGACGTCTTGTACACTAATGAAATAGCGCCGCCAGCCAGGAGATCAGGGTGCACCACTGCGCTCCAGCGATTTTTACGCACGCACCGCGCATTAAAACACCTGCACAAATAATAAGTGGAAGTAGGTATCCTATTTGTTTGAAAAGCAAGCTTTTAACATGGAACCCTTCTACATGATAAAAAGAAGTTTTTAAAGGTGTCTGTCTCCTGTCGCAGTCCAAAACAGAACCTCACCGAAAGCATACCTGAATCAGAGTGCAGTCACGCAGTTCATGCTTATATTTGTTCTTACAGCGCATAATAACACACAAAAAATAAGATGCCAGGCTGCAGTTATGCTAGAAGAATAAAGAATAACAAAGCAGGCAGGGAAGAAAAGGAAAAATAAAAAAAAGAATCGGAGAATTAGGGGGGATTTGTTGAATACGCATCCTTTGGTCATTCGCCTTTACTAATGTCCGTTGAGGAATGGGGAAAAAAAGGAGCTGAAATCGACAGAAGAAAGATTAAATATCATCGACTCTGGATCTGGATGTTGACTGTAAAGCAATGATGCTCCTGCCAGATAGCGTTGCTTCTCTGGTTTGGGAGAAACCTTTAAAAAGCTATCCCAAAAGCAAGGAATATCAGAGATTACCACCCGCCAGTGGATTTCATCTGTCAAACGAGAAATACCTGACTCTGAGACATTTCAGTCATTTCAGCAGGAACAAGCCCCCCCCTCAACCCCTTGCACTAGGAGCGCGTTCCGTCCGCGGCTGGAAAGAAATTCTCCGTCAGCCTTGCAAGCGCAGATCCTGCAAGAGGGTAAAAGCAGGTATTCTTAAAAAGAAGAAAAAAAGGGATCCTTGACGCGCGCCTGACAGCCACTACATGTTTAACTGAGATGGAAAACAGGACTCCGCATGTCAAATATCCACTTGCAGTAAATCCCTCGCATCCTTAACCGCCGCGTCCAGACGCGCGCTACACCGGTGCCACTAGAAGCGGAGGAGCAGGAGGAGAGACTTATCCATCGTTCCAGGTAAAAGCAAAAGGGGGAAAACTCCAGAGGACTAAAAATACAAAAAATTATTTTCTTTTTTGTTTGTTTTGGGTTTTTTGCTTTTAATGCGCTCACCTCTAATTCTGTCCACACCGAGTCCTGGTTACACCTGTCCCACGCCATCCAGAAACACTGAATGACGCTCCGAGAAATAAAAAAAAAAAAAAAAAACGAAAAAAAAAAAAGGGGGAAAATAAAATCAAGTAAAAAAGAAATCCACGCACGCTTCCCACTCGCTCTCACACAGGCAACTGCTGCCCCTCGCCGAGAATGAACCGAGGGCACCTGTCTTACTACTGCTTTCCATCACATGACAAAGCTATTAAAAGTAGGCAGGGGAGTGACTCCGCGTCCACTCCACTCGCCGGTGACGCGCGGCGAGCGGGCGGAGTCTGGCAGCGCAACATAGTAAAATCCCGCTGGGGCACTGCAAAAAAATCATCTCATGAAAGCCAGTTTATTATCGTTTATTATAGGGACAAAATCTGATATCAGTAAAAAAAAAAACCATCATATATGACCAGCATAAGACCAATTTATAATATAAAAGTTAGAAAAGCTCAGGTGCTTTGAGCCATCATTTTTTAATGTCTTACTTTAGTAGCTGCATTTACTGCTATTTTCAGAGATTTTAGAATTAGCTGCGCTCCCGTAATTTGGGGAGCAAGAGATATGGCCATACACTACGGAAGAGGATTAGGGCCACTGAAAAAAAAGTTAACTGATTTTTAAATTTTATTTCAGTTTAACATGAGAAGTCAGAATTCTGAGATTAAAGTCAGAATTCTGACTTTTTTCCCATACTATACTGAAATAAAATTTAAAAAATCAGTTACCTTTTTTTTTTCAGTGGCCCTAATAAAGTCAATGCTTATGTCATGCTGCAGTTGAAGATATTTTGGCTTCTATGTTTTTCTACATACAGGTGCATATTTCTTGAAAGATCTAATGCTTTGATAATGAAATTTAACACTATAAAAACACTTAAAATGTAAAATCTGCAACTTCAACTTTATAACAACCTCTTTTGTCTAATATATGTGCATTAAATTGATCTAAAATCAGAGTTTTTTTCAATAGTAAGGCTAAGATTTTGATTTTGGCAGTCAGATTATTTATATAAAAGCAAACTGCACCACATTTAGGACTTAAAAAATTAAAATCAAAACGATCTATTTGACCATTTATGACTTAATACTTCATACATTTCTTTAAAATACCGAATCTCTGAAACAGTCTCTAACAAATGTATCCAGATCTAGAAACTGAACTTAAAGTTAAGGGAGTTTATTTTCATATATCTGTGTGTGAATTTGAATTAAAAATTAAATCAAAAGCAAATTCAAAAGTATTTCAAAATTTCAGATGCTGGGTTAGATACCCTTTGTTTTCAGCAGAAACCCCAAAATACTGCATGTAAGTTGCTGGCAAATTATAACCATCCCAAAAAATGTTTTTTTGTTTTTAATCTTTATGAAAAATCCTGAATATGGGATTTGTCATTTGATCTATAAGAGGAATTTTCTTCTTTGTGAGGTATTTCCAAACTATCTTTAGCAATCTCTTTAAATTCAAATGTCAGTGTTTATGGTGCAGAGGATATAATCAGATAATTCTGTTGTTTTAAGGCAAGAATTCATTGTCTTCAGAAAGGCTGTGAAAAAAAGGACAGGTGGCAGTATGGATCTTGTATATAGTATCAACAGGATGTGTATAGACAACACCACCACCGGAGTGAATAAAAACAGAAGCTTTGTGGATATTTTAAACAGGTTTCTGTTAGGGAATGAACTGACGGATATACAGCTGGAATTATAGTCTCAATCTTTCTGTCGTTTTTGTACAATTTAAGGCTTTTTTTGAACGATTCAACAATAATACCATGACTTTTTAAACCAGAAGAGCTTCCTTTTGAAAAATAATCACTGTCATTGTTTCTGTTTGGACTACCTTTAGCAAGAAATGCCCTAGTTATATTCAAACAATACGTCCCCATAATAAGAGCCTCACTCCGAAGAATATGTGAACCCAATCCAATTTTTACTCTTGTAAGCCTATTAAGTCCACCTGAGCATGCATAAGAGCAATTGTCTCCCTAAATTGGTGAACCACATACAGTAAGTCTCATTAAACACTAAATTGCACAGAAGCCCATAAAAAGGTTGTGAGACTGGAAATGGGAATTGTTTCAGCTTGTGCGAGTCCAAGCTAGTGTGCTGTAAGGGTATTTTGGTTTAATTGACATCTCAGGCCATTTGTAGAATTAAATCTATACATCTGCGAGTGTCATAAGATATGCCACCCAGAAGTAGAGTCCAGATGGACCAGGGCTGCAAAGATAACAATATAAGTCAACATGAGCATTACATGGAGATCCATGGTAGATGGTTTTGTTTGTGCTGCAGATTAAAACACTAAATAACACTATGTTGAGGTTGATCCTTAAAGAAAATCAGTTAGCAATTTATTTTTGTAAGTGGAGTATACAGCCATAAACAACTGTAAGCCAGAAAGGGAGACATCGTTTGATAATTATGATGTCGACAAGTTGGGTTTTGTTGCCACATTTATAAAATATACATCTCTCTCTCTTTTAAAGCTGCATGTAAGTCACAGTTTTACAGTCTATCTGACTGTCCTCTTCATACCATTAAGAAAACAGGAATTAAAGATAGATATTATGTTCCTCCAATGCGTAGCTGTATTTTTCTTCCACAAACCCTTTTCTGCTGTAGGGTAGATTTTCATGTATTTAGCAGCAGAGATTTTTAGATATAGATATTGTGATTAAAAGGGGGGAGGATGCGTGGAATGGTCTTTAGTTTAATTTATTTTGTTTTTTTGAACAGGCCTATGATGAATAGCCTTACACATATAAATACGGTTCGACCCCAACCACTTTAGTAATAGTATGTTGAGGTTTGTTGCCCTAAGGTCTTCTGCAAATTGTACATTCCCAATGGGCCCTGAGCAGCTTAACTGCTGTTGCTAAGTAGAGAATCCCCACTGCATGATTAAGCCACCACCATGTATCAGGAGGGGGTGGGGTTGGTATTCTGCAACAGATTTTTGTTTTATGTAGGTCTATGTTCACTATATTGTGGCAAGCTGCAAACTCAGTGATTGTTCAGTTAATAGGTTATCCAACCTGAGCAGTGTATATCTGCAGGTTTTTTCCAATGATATACTAAGCTGCTTCACTGACTAATGGTCTTCTGAGTTGCTCTGGTTGGTTTATTGCTCTGCATTTAGGTCTTGATTTCACACAGACGTTGCATCTAAACACTGGTATATATATTACTTCTAGAAATAAATCTATTGGACAAAGTGTGACAATTTGTTATCACTCGTTGGTTTTATTTCATGGTGTCAACCTTCAGTGTGGACCAAACTCTTACATTCCCCTCTAGACCTTTCAATGTTGCAAACTCTCTAACATAACCTTGAAAATGCAGTCCAAAGGAAGCATTAGAGGGTTCATGAATTAAAAGAAACAATGACAAATTGTAAAATGCCTCTTAACTCGAAAACAAAGAGATATAACAACTGTCGGGTCACACATAGCGAGAGTTACAGGGTCTTGCATCTATCTCAATGATTAAACAGTTTCTAAAGAGAGTCAGTTGACAAGGGGAGTTCTCCAAGCCAACACGGGGCTAATCCACCGATAATTATTCTTGTTTGAATATTGAGTCTGGCCTGACTCACGGAACAGAGCCTACAATTTGCATATCTGGTCTCATTGAATCTGATATTAACATATTAACTAAAAGAGCAGAATATGCATTGATCTTTATTTCATTTTGAAGCCAAACATATTGTCTGTTGTTGACACTTCATCCATTCTTAGCAAACGGTGTCTTGTTTTGCCTTTTTTCTGTTAAGTGTGTCGCAGGCCCTCAGAGAGCAAGCTGCTGCTGCATACCGTGTGTGGGGCGGCGATTCATATCACTTTGTTGCATGTCATTGCTCCCAACAGAATCCATCCTAGCATCTGGCCCTATTAATGCATGGTGGCTGGATTCATGAGAATTAATTGAGGGCAGAGGTAAAGCAGAGTGCCGCATCCATCCATGTATCCTTCAGGACAATAATAAGACAGCTTATGCTTCGTTGTCTGGGCTGCCATTTGATGTGTTTTCAGATCTTTGGCACATTGGTCATTTTTTCACTTGATATGTCATATTGTTTTCGCCCTGTTAGGGGACAGTGGAAGAAGTGGATGCATTTCACAGTGGTCTCATACTCAGCATTAGCACAGGATGTAATGTCATACAGGATTTAGCTCCAGGAAGTTGAAACAGACACATAGTGCAAGTTGGCATTTTTAAAACTATGTGAGATGGTGGTACAGGTTTGTGTAGTTGTATAGTTATCACTAAACCCTAGTATGTAGATATAATTAGAACTAGTATATTCTTTTTAAGCTTCTTAAAACAACTTTAACAACCGTTATAAAAATTTTTGCAAAAGTATGTATAAACTTTGAAGTTTCTCACCTATTATCTTTCTTTAATAACTCCAAGTAGAATCCAGTACAAATAATTGTCATCAAAAATCAGATTATCAGTTAATAAGGACTACTTGAAATAAGACAATGCATTTGCTTTTTTCCTAATTTAAATTTAAACGATCTTCAATTCAAGAACAAATGCTCTTTTTTAAGAAAAAAATGACATATGTAGATTTGGATTTTTTTTCCTGAGGACCTCAGACGTCTCCCAAGGAACCAAGGAACACAGAAGGTTAGTGATACAATTATATAGAAGTGTGATTTAGTGTCAGGTTCTAAAATGATCAACAAATGCAACCAACCTAAACATAGCCGTCTGGCTATACTGGAAAGATTGTTTTGAGTGTATGAAAGAAAGAGTCTGAAAACTATGAGAAACTATGAGATATGCCACAAAAACAGCTTTTAAGTATTAGTGATCGGAAGACTGAGACACTGGAGCAAGCCATCAGAACTCCTATGGGTAGATTGCCACACCATATTGGGGAGACAGCAAGCAAATTGTAGGCTTTGGTTATAATCAGTTTTGGTCTCATCTGGCTCTGACCAGATGAGACCAAAACTGATTATAACATGCAACATGCTAAATGAAGCAGACAAAAAAAACACCATCTCCACAATGACATATGCTGATGGTGCCATCATGCTGGGCTTCTGCTCTGTGAAGATAACTGACAAAAGCCAGTCAGAGCTGAACAGCTGAACCTGAAAGCTATAAGAGACTGTAAAATACTTGAGAATTTTAGTTTGGAAACAACCTAAACATACAGTTAGCAAAAATGGAAACCTTTAGCTCAAATATTAATGA